CCCCTTTAAAGTAATAGCGCGCAGTTCGAGTCACCTTTTCTATTGTCTGGCCGAGAAATTCGAGTCCCTTCGTAGTTTAATTTTTCTTTGTCTGGCGGAAGTTTGTGAACGGTTTCGACTTCCGCCGAGAGTAATTTTCGAGTCCAGTAGAGTCCTTTTTCTCACGCCGGTTTGTGAATGGTTTGGGCCCGCGGCGAGAAAGGTGCCATTTTCGAGATATTTTGAAGTGATCGTTCCCCGAAAATTTGCGAATGGTTTGGATTTTCGGTGCGGAGATCTTATGATTGAGTAAAATTAGAGTCCTTTGCCACGGCCAGAAGTCGAGTCCTAGGCGCGTTCATTATCTTTCCCTCGGGGTCGGAGGCGGAGAAGCCGCGCGGCGACCACGTGGTCGCCCGCGTCCGCGACTCATTTTCTTCCCTGGAAAGCCCGCTTTTCTTCCGGTCGAAGTTGCGATCTTGTTGAGTTTAATTTTTGAGTTTAGTGTGTTGAATAATTTTGAGAGTAGGTTTGCGACTCGTCCGTCGAATGAATTTTGTACAACATTGCGGAAATTTAGAGTCGAGAACATGTTGTGTAATTTGGAGTCCATTAGTCCATGAACGCGAGCGCAAGTTTTTGAATCATTAGATTGTATTTTGAACATGTACGATTTCTGAATTATTGACTTGTATTTTGAGTGTGTCCGAATTTTGAATCATTGAATTGTATTTTGATTGTGTGCGAGTTAGAATTTAGGTGACCCATATTCTTTATTATAGCGAACCCGTTGTGTATTTTTAGTAATTCGAATCGTAGAATTATTTCTGCGTTATGGTCGATTGGAGCCCGTGGAAATAGATTTTCCGAGAGTTGACGAACCCTCGAACTTGTGTTGAGCGGAGCCCCTTTTTGAATATTTCGCGTTAAATTGTCTTTCCCGGCGATAAACCGGGGAAGCTAGTCATTTTCTAAGATATTTGATATCCTCTCCATTTTCTATTTCCTGCTTTAATTATCTCTCGCCTAATTGTCCAGCGAGAATTACCTTGCTAAATTAATTGTCTTTTGGGCGGCCTTCCGCCGAACCCTATTTTCATGTCGCATTTCTGTTTTCGCGCTTCATTTTTTTAATCTAACTATTTTCTATTTCTTTTTATTGTTAGAATAAATTTGTTAAAACTTGGTACCAAATTCGAATTCGTTTTTCTTTTGAGTAAGCGTGGCTGAATTCCCCTGTTTCCTCGAGCCTATGAAATTTCCCCAAATCTTTTGAAGTTTTCCACTTTGTCCCCCGCATCTTAGTCTTACCCACGCCCTCTCCGAACCTTGGCGCGTGCGCGCTCTGAACTAGTCAGCCGCGCCGCGACGATCGTCGAGGCGGAGATCGGTCGAGCCTAGTCCTTTCAGTCAATTTTGAGTTTGTCGAGATTTGTTCGAGAGTACTGAAATTTTGAGTTGTTGAGATTTTCGAGAGTTGAGAGTTTGCCGTCGAGTATTTTTGGCCTCCGGGGAGGCCTGGCGCCCAACTTTATGTCTCGTTCCCGAAACCGGGAAAAATAATTTTGAGTGCCTTGAACGGATCCGCCTAGACGATCGGGCGAAGGTGACGAGCAATCGTCCGGGCGCTGCGGGCCCGGGATTCCCCCCCGAATAAAGTGTCCGTTGTCGACACAGTTCCGCGTATTGTTCCTATCCGTCACAAATGAAGCACAATAAACGCCATAATTTCTCTGAACAATTTTAGATAAAACGAAAAGTTAAAATAAATATTCCAAATCATATATCACATTCTGGTAAAAATAAAAATACACATGTATAACGTAAATTGGTAGCCTGTATAAATTGCGTATTGCTTTTAGTATTTCTTGTATTTTCATCCTATATCTTCTCTAAAGGAAAAATAAAAATTATGAAAATACGGAAAACAGAAATAGGATATCCTGTAATCGTGGAGCCTCTTCCACGTTTCAAAGCGGTGCCCTGCCCGGGCCGAAGGCCTCCGAGGTACGGGGAGAGGTCGCGCGACCGCGGTCTTAAAGAGCTCGAGGCAGGTGTCTCCACGTAGCAGAAGTACCGTGTCAAAAAGGAGCCCTCGCCCAGACCGCCATATTGGGGAACGCGGACCGTTCTGGAGCCTTAAGGGCGGTGCGGAGTCGATCGGGCCGACCGCGGCGCGTCCACGAGGCTCTTAGGCGCAAAGAGGAAGACTCGGAGTACCGGTGGCACCGTGGGACCAGAGCGGATGGAAGTCCCGCCCAGTCGCCGGGGCTACATTGAGCAGCTGCAGTAGGGTCAGCGGTCGGTAAGGGGGCCTCGCGAGTATTCTGTGAAAGAGTGTTAAAGAAAGCAGAGATTTTAAAGAGCTGGTTTAGAAAAGAACTGTCACGTCTGTTTCCAGGTGTCAATTGCGTCCGCCTAAAGTCATAATCCCATCAAAATTATTTTCTTGCATATTTTACAAAGTAACGTATCCAGGTCTCCGTCTTCGATGTGTTTAAGCTTGATATACGTGTTGAGGTGTTCAATGTCAAGCACATGTCTTTTTTTTTTATTTGGCCAGATTCACTTTTAGAGGGTGACCCCCCCCCCCCAAGAAAAATCTGTATTTTTACGTTTTGACTCTTACCGTGCAAAAGACGAAGATTATAAAAAAATCCTGATATAAACTTATATATTTTCGTGCGTTTTTTTTTGACTGTGTTATAGACAAATCAATTTACTTCATAATTGTTTCATAAATTGCAAAAAAAATGATCAATTTGGCCAATTATTTTAATTCCTTTCAATAATACGGGAGAATTCAAGTGTTTTATCGCAATAGAAATTAAAGACCTCGAAAAATGGGAGGATCCGTGTCTTCGTAAAAAAACCTATTTCGGGGAGTGAAAGCCTCTCTTCAAATTTAAAATGAAAAACCTTATATTTTTCGAACTATTACGTTTACAGGAATGATTTGTATACAAAAAATGTTCTATTTACTCATAATTAACTGTTTTTGCAATTTATTTGTTATAAACAAAAAATGTATTAACAAATATGTAAAAAATGAAAAATTAAGAATATAATTCAAAGGTATCGAAAAGAGCCACTAAGAACTAGACATCCATATTGATAGTATAAAATCATATTTTCATAGATTATCTTCGATAAGCCCATCTATCATTTCGTTACCGCATACCGAATGCCTAACAATCGTAACGCAATGGTCCATCAAGATACGTAAACATAAACGTAGAAGTAAAGAGAATATAAGAAATATATTTGCAAACCAGAACATATGGTTCTTTAAAATCAGAGAAAGTGGATTACCTTCAGGACTGACCTTCACTTATCGTCATCCCAAATCAGGGGTCCAAGATTTAAGAAAAATTATTCTAGAAAAACAGGTATAAGGTGGTCGTATGTCTACATTATCTTTTTTATTTTTGAAGATGTTACAATTCCTTAACGTGATATGAAAAGCGCTGAGAAATTTAACCCTTTTAATGCCGGGCGAAAAAGAGGTGCTTATGCGAAGATAACCAGCCGAATTTTACGATTTTACTAGGATTTGGAAAAAGGCTCATAAAAACCAAACGAAATTCAGAAAGCGGTGTATTAAGGACAAAACAGAGAATAAAACAGTGACGCTAATTTTTCTATATTCATTGAAAATTACATAAATAACAAAGGTATGTGATAAAAAAAAAGAAAAATTGAGTTCTCTGTTTCAAAACGTAATTGCACATAGGAAAAGTCATCTTTTTATTATAAATTTATATAGACCGTTTATTGCAAAGTATATACTTTAAATTTCCAATATATTTTTTAACAAAACAAATAATATTGCACAAGAAACATAAAAAATAACTCCAAGGCACATGGTAGGCGCGGGACAGATTATCTCATCCGAAACAAGTAATTGTTATAGGTAATATAACAGTGCTGAAACGAAATTACGTTATAATAAATATATTTGTGATATAATTTTGTACATTCATTATAATAACATAAATATTTATATCTACATATTGTAAATGTGTAACATTTTGTTACTATAACATACCTAAATAATTTATTCAGCATTCGTGACTACTAATGCACACACCGTGCAATCCTTTATTGCATCTATTCAACTGGCATAGAATATAAGGGAAAGTTAAACCGAAAAATTATTTATTTTAATTCTCTCGTAATGAAATTAGACTATGTATAACGTATTATAAATTTATTTTGAGATAGAGATCTCTCGCAAAGCGAATAGTAAAGCGCTACAAGGTGTGGGCCGATATATCGGCTTTGGCACTTTTCGCCAGTGCAGCGAGGGCCGATATATCGGCCTCCGGCACAAAAAGGGGTAATCGAGGTCAATAAGATAAAATTTATCTATACCCTTTTTGGCGACAACGCCATTTTGGATATTCAAGTGGTAACATAAGCTGGCGCGTTACGTTACCGAAATTTATATTTGTGTTGGTCTTTTATAGTCTACGTTGAGAATGATACGAAATGAAACGTTCCATATGTCATTTCGGGAAAGTAATAATAAAAAGATCGACGTAAAACTTGAAATGCCGTGAATTCATGACTTTTTATATTCTAACGGACCAACGGACCCATCTGTAACGCTTAACTGCAACAAAATTTTTGCTCTAAAAACACGTGTTAACAACGAAACAAGCCTTCTGCATTGCATTCTCTTGCAATCGTTGGTGAAAGTATTGTCCATATTTTCCCATCTGACTTTGTAATATTCCATTTCCATGGTATTATAAATTGTTCAAGCTAGGTCCTGAGACTCTTCGTGCTCAATTCTAAGCCTTCAAGAAACGTAAAACATCGAAAACGTGCACGGACCACACCATATTGATTCTAGCCAATGGTAAATCAATTTTTGATTAAAAATGAAATTTAATGAATTTCAGGACCTACTGTAAGCCCTCCATATTCACGTGATAAAATTTGAAACGAATCGGCACACCTAATTCGTAGAATACTTTTACCAACGATTTGACCTCTCAGATATATGTAGGCTGACTCATTGATATCACCTTTATCTAAGAAAGGGAATCTATCTTAACATACTGCAACAAAAATTAGTTTTCTCGCCGCCGTGATTACATGAGTTAAAGGGCTTTGATATGGACCAGGTTGGTAATACCGATACCTAATCGGTTGGCAAAAATTAACAATCTACTTAACATCCAAACGATACACGATTGGAACATACAAGTTGAACTATAAGATCAAAATCAGAATATCTAGAGTACGTCACTTCATTTTTAATCTTCCTAATACATTTTTTTTAAGATTTCACTCTTAACGACCATACAATCAGTCCATTCCTGATAGGCTGTGTTTTTCATCTTTTTTGAAGTGATGCACCCTAGACCTATAGACAGGAAACTTATCAAAGTAAACATCAAGTCTGCATATGATGTTTTATAAAAATTAGGTACATTGAAAAATTACGACCTAGTCAGTACATTTGACGTGATGTTTCGAGCTATTCTGGTTCACTAAAATTCAGTGTGCAAACAGTGCCAATTGATGCGCATCAAAGAAACAATTCTCATTTCGAGACATGAACTATCATTTTATTTTACACTTGATAACTTTCAGTAGATCCCTCTGCCCTGCTGCCCTCCGGCCTATATTACTTCAAAATGTCTCGATTTGTGATGTCACTTCCAATTTGTTGGTTTCTGAGATCGTAAACACTGCATCACGCGATAAGGACCCTCAATTGAAATAGTTACTATACAATTTGTTCCACTGTAAATAATTAATAGATTCATTTCTATTAATATTGGTATTGTATAATTATAATACACCATAATGATTAGCATTAATTGATATAACAATTATTATGAATATTTATTAATATTGGGTTAAAAATTCTAAAAAATTGTATCCTCTTTCCATGCTCGAGTGGGTAGTATAAACGATATTCAAAGGTATCGAAAAGAGCCACTAAGAACTAGACATCCATATTGATAGTATAAAATCATATTTTCATAGATTATCTTCGATAAGCCCATCTATCATTTNATTGGGTTAAAAATTCTAAAAAATTGTATCCTCTTTCCATGCTCGAGTGGGTAGTATAAACGATAATTATGAAAATTAAGTGGTTACAATTAGGATACTGTTACGTCTCGTGTACCCCTTACGAACGCGCTATAGTATGCACTATAAAACTAATTACTCATCCCGTATATCATATGAGAGAGAGAGAGTCCCTTGTTCTTAATCCTTTAAGACAACGAAGGCCCAGGACAATGGTAACACAACTTGGGGTCCCGAAAATTCATTGTTTAAACATGTTAAGAACTTACATAAAAAGACGATGTTTAAGCTGAACCTAATGTTCCCCCACTTCCAAAAATATAGGAAAATTCACCTCGAAAGTAATGTAAAAAGGGGCGTATCTATGCAGGGAGCGTCAGTCAGTTTTAAACAATTGCACAATTTTCACTTATACAGAACGAGCAAGTGAACGAATCTACGACAATCGTCCGTTCAATTATAAACCATTGAATGTATTAAATTCTCATAGAGGCTGTTTTCTAGTTAAATTAATGAATTGTTCACAAAAAGAATCAATTTTTTTTCTTTCCTTCCTAATCCTTGAGGACGCGGGGCTTTGTCCAGCCGTCACCGCCCATTCAAATCCTATTGTTGCCGACGGAATGGATACTACCCATTAATAGCTGGGTTTCTTGGAAGACCTGAGACCCGAGGGGTCCGCGAGAACCCTCACTTCAGGAAGAGCATTCGTTTATCTGAAGGATTAGCCGAGATTTCCAGAAAAAAAAGAATAGGTAGCGATGAACGCTGGTGGATGGTCGACTTATGCCGGGACAGTCACAAATAGTCATTGGGACAATGCGGAACAGTCGTAGATGCTGGTTTAATACAATGCGGATAGAAGCGGCGCGGGAAGGAAGTAGTCACTATTATGATCTCGGCCAGTGCGAAACAGGGGAAGTTCCTAGTAATCGAGGAAGTTCGGATGGAACCGTGCTGATGGAAGCGATACGAGAGCAAGGAGTCACCATTGAAATTTCGGGAGGTGCGGATGGACGAACTTCGAGAAAGCGGTCATCCGAGAGAAACTGAAACTGCTGAAAAGACACCGAGGAAAAAGAAACCTCAGAACATTGTATGGGGCGGACCCGGGGGAGGCCGCCGTTGGGCGCTAAAGGTTCAAGAAGAACACGACTTCGGCGGGCTGCAGCGGAGTGGTGAGACCAGACCGAAGCTTTCCCGAATTTCTTGCCCGTTCGATATTCGAGGCCCGTCCAGGGGGGTGCCGACCCGTCTTGAGACTGTTGTGTCCTCCGAATTGGTGCTGTCGGGTGCCGGGGTGTGTGGCGTGCCCCATGTTATGCTATGCTGCATGGGTTCGTGTATCCATGCCCCGGTCCAGCCGTATGGGGAGTGTTCTGTGTCGAGTCTAACTCCACGTTCATGTGTCCGTATTCGGATCCCGCAGGTGTGACGCCGAGTCGGCGGCAGATCTTTCCGCAATCATGCCGGTCCGGGGGGCTGAGAGACTTCCCGCGGGCGAGAGTCCCGTGCTGAGATGTTTCATAAATGAGACAAGTGGCTGTTGGTGGGACGGGCTGATTGAGTGCCGGCGGGTCTCATGGGTGGGACCGGCAACGTGCTGTGGTGTGGATAATGCTTGGGGCGTGCCTGATCCGGGCTGATGGCCCTGACTAACCTGAGTGACCGAAGCATGCTCGTTGATATCCCGTGGAGAACTGCGAGAGAATTGAGACCAGGTAGCCAAACAGTCACCGACGAGGGTGATACTCAATGACGTTGTGCTGCTCAGGGACTGCGTTAGCGCCGAAAACTAGCAACAATGAAGTCTGCCGTCAACACCTATTATTCCTCACTATAAGAAAGTGCGGGGTGTGATCCAGCTCCCTTTCTGTATCTCGATCTCCACTATTTCCTCATTATAAGAAGGCGCGAGGCTTAGCTAACTTCCCTTCTCTATCTCCATTTCCATTATTCTCTCACTGTAACTAGGCGCGGGACTTGATTCAGCTTCCCTTCTGTATCCCAGTTTCCACTGTTTCCTCACTATAAGGTGAAGGGCTTGGTCCTGCTCCCTTTGTTCAGAGTGTAACGAAAATGGTGGTCACGGTTTAGGCAGAGCTATCCTTGTTGAAAAAGGAGTTGAAAAGTCCTATACTAGCATTTCGTACAGTGCATAATTTTTCTGCAATAAATGTTCTGCGTTTGGCTGTCTGCGACGTAGCGGCGTTCTATTGGGGGGACGCGACTGATTGGTTGTGCTTCAATTAATTATTATAGGAAGATTCTTCACTGTAGGAAAAAATTGTATAGGACTTTTCGACTCCTTTTTCAATAAGAATAGTGCTGTCTAAACCGTGACAACCATTTCTGTTATACCCTATTTTCAAACCATACAAGAGCACGGAGGTTGGTCCAGCTCCTCCCTTGAATCCTATTCAAAATTTAGTCGTAGTAAAACGTAACCTCATATATTTTCTTCTGTAAATACCCTGCTGTAAATGATAAGCGGTGCGAAAGGATAGTCGCTTTACTTATTACTTTTGCCCAGGCAGAGAGCCTACTCGTCCATACAAAACGTAGCAGACCCCACAGGCGGAACAAAAAGAGGGTCCAGCGAAAACTTCCGGGAGCTACCCCTTGTAACGGGTCCAAGTGCGAGCGTGCGCAGTAGATAGTCACCAGTAAGTCGGAACACTAAGGGCATGCGTAGTGTCATTACGAGGAGAGTAGGGGGGCCCCAGGAGGGGGAATCGCGGCTCGCAAGCGCGGAGAGCAAGACGCTCTCTCGAGTTTCAACTTTGGTAAGCAATAGTTCACAAACAAAGTTTTCGCACATGAATGTGTGTCTCACCGATTCGAAGCTTTGTCGAACGGTCAGCATCGGGTCGAATACGTGTGACGCGTTCTGGTCGGGACTCGCCTAAAGACGCTGATGACTGAGCATTGCTGCTCTGATTCAGTATTCGAGCGAAATCCCAAGGTGACTGTCTTGAACTTGATGAAATTATATTTCAGGACCTTTTTCCAGTAGGCCTGGCAAAACCGCCATCCCATCTCCTTATCGCTTCAACATCCCTAACCAAAATTCGGACCAACTTCCCACCGGCTCTGCATTGTAAGAGACCTGGTCACCATCCACCCCGGCAAACCCTTCACTAGTTAATCTCCGCGGTAGGGTAATTTAGAATAGGCCATACTAACCCCCGTAGAGCTAAGCTCTGGGAAGAATCATAGACTCGGTGACAAAACTCAATCATTACGAATAGATTCACTTTAGGCTAATCAGCCACACCCACAGCAGGGTTAGAATTCTCTGGATGAGGTTCAAAAAGGAACCCCAAATTCATTCCTCTAGCATCGGCTATGCCTTCGCTCCGAATAGAACCGCACGCAAATTGAGGAAAACGGGGGCCGACAAACTCAGTGTACGAATTAGGGACTAACCGCCTATAATTCTTAACACCTTCCAAATTGCATCCATTAACCCGAAATTCCGTTATTCCAAATCCTGTCGATTCTACGAGGAATCAAAAGAGCGCACCACTAACGGAATAAGCCGCTCTAACTGAGAATCTATTTCCCATCCTTTCTCTTCCGGGAATTCTAGACGTAAGTAAAGGAAGCGCCTATAATTAGATTAGGATTGCCCTTAATTTGATTAAAGCAGTGCGAAAACTAAGGAAAATTCTGAGAAAATTACATCGCTAACTCGCTTTAAACGGTTCGACTCCGGAGTACCTCTCGTTAGAAAAACTCATTCAAACTGGATTCGATCAGTAATCCTCCTGAGTCTTCAAATATTGACACGCTTCCTCCCCAGTCTCAAATCTCCTCGCTCTCTCGCCAGTATCAAATCTCCCGAAAATTAAAGTTAAATTAACTCGTTTCAAAAATTGTGAGGCTCGAACCCTCTAAGGCTGCAATTATTCCATTGCAGAGGCTCGAATAAGCGCAAACCATTGCATCCTTTTGCCCCGAAAAACCTCATCTGCTTTTCTCCGAAACGTCTTGAGTTAGTGAAGGCACTGGTAAACGCTGCGACATCAAGAACAACGCGTCGCCCAGTTCCCCCTTGGCTCACTAGTGTGGAGGTCCGCATCTCGTGGAAACTCGTCCCAATCGAATTCTTCCCGATTAAGGACGACAAGTACGCTCAGGTGTATGAATCAGGGGGCTCGAGGAAACCCAAGTCAGACATAATAGTAATTGATTAAATAAAGTATTTTCTATTTCTTTTTTAAATATGTGAAATTCATTTCAACTCTCACTTTCACAGACGTAATAATAATAATTGACACTATGTTTACAAAATTCTGTTATCTTGCTCAAAAAAAGTGTATTCGAATAGGATAATTACAACATAAACTTTGATTCGTTTGTGAGAAATTATCACATCAAAGATACGAATCCTAATTTTCCATTCGTAATTATTCTGTTCAGAAAAATATTTTGAATATAGAATGTAATTAAATTTCAACTAAATCGCGGCTTTTAAGTTACGAGCAGTATCATAGAATAATTTTTCATTACTACTAACCTGAAATTATTTATGTGATGCTTTGTTTGCCTATCGCATAACTTGAGATGGGATCGGGTCTAAAAGTTTCAACTTGGAGAATTTCGATTACCGTCACATCGGAAAAAGTACAACGGTATCATTGGTTGTCCCTTGTCATTCCTGGCATAAATTTGGCAATAGAATCTGCGGCTTCTCCATCATTGAAACCCGTTACGTTCATAATTATAAACCCAAAGGCCGATCCGCTCTCACATTATGATAGAAAAGTTAGGATCCGTATTATTTATATTCGATCTTCTAGATTCGATTCAATCGAATTTATGTCGGATGAATCGTTCAATCTGACTACTCTTTCCCTAAGTAAAATAACGCAGTATTTTATAAACATATCATGTATTACCCATTCGTGGTGACTTTATGTAGACCATTCGTTTTCATAATTATCATTAATTTATTTTAGTATTTTATGAATCTAGTGCGAAATTCTTCGGAGTTTTTGAATACTACCGATTTGCACACAGAGGAAACAAATTCATCGAATCAGAGAAATATTTCTTTGAATAGTGCCAAAGAAATATTTTGTTAATTCAAAGAATAATTATTTGACTGAAATAAACTGAAATAAATTGTCATATTTCCAAGAAAACGTTGCATGCAATATATTCGATTTTTTTAGCTAAATGATTCATTGAGTTAACAAAATATCTCTTTGGTACCATTAAACGAAATATTTTTCTGGTGCAATTAAATTTTTTCTCAATGCATATTGTTTTACCATTTTAACATACCAGAAAGTGTATGAACAAAAAAATTACAATTCCAAAGTCTCAAATTATACTGTAACGTATTATCTGATATCTGCGAAATCGGGATTATAAAAAGACAATACGAAACGGACAAGACCGAGAATGGTGGCTAAAAACAAATAGATTAGGGTAGAAATAAGTAATATCTAATTTTAAGTTTTCAATTACATTTTTTAATTTATTAATTGTAGAAACGTGCGTATCTTACAAAAGTGAGTAGTGCCCCCCCTCCCCACACACACACACACTCCCAAGCCAACGATTGCATCCCCATCCTCGGCCGCGCCAGCTGACAGAAGTGGATGGCTGCTAAAAAGTAAAGAATATAATACAAAAATTCGAGGGATCGATCCAGTGGACAGAACCGCCGTGGTAATATTGCACGTAGAATTGCGTGGTTTTTGTCTCACCCGCATATCCGATTTTTGTTATACTTGAACGTTAAGTTAGTACCCACATATGCAATTATTACAAAAACGTAATTCTACGTAAAAAAAAAAAAGAAATACATACAATTTTCTATACACATTTCGTGCCGTATCAACAGCAGCAAGCAGCAGAGCAACAGCGGCAGCAGTGGCGACAATAGAATGAGTTGAGACGACAGTCGGAGCAACCGGAGTGCTCGGTCCATGGCGGGAGCCGATGTGGCTGAGCTGGCAGGTGACTTGACAACGGGCCGCAGTGTTCCGTTTCCATTTTTTCAAAAAGATTGCAAGATGGATCTCGTTTCCTGCGCCCTCGACGCGGCTTCAACTGTTTTTATTCATTAGAGAAAGATTAATGTAAATAAGTGAATTTATACATGCACATTCGTATGGCGTATAATGTCATACATCCTTCATTGTTTGATCCACTAGAACCCCTCGGAATTTTCAATTTATTTGGTTCTGAAATGGAAAAAATATGATTTAATATAATATTAAGATGAATCATTTCACATAAAATTAATACACATATACATAAACACGTAGGCGCGCGCGCGTGTGCGTGTGTGTGCGCGCGCAACCGTATGCATGCGCAAACGCTATCTAGTCTTTACCGCAAGTTTTGTACAACCGTATATATTACTAGTCATACCTCAGCAGTGAAAGCTTACGATAAATTCACGTCTGGTATAATTAAAATACATTATCCTTCGTATGCTGTAATTTTTTCCCGCATTTTTTATGCCATTTGTTATACACTACGCACTTCTAAAGATTCACAAGGTTGAGTTTAGCTCAAACAACGTTTTTAGACGCCGTTGTCTGCTCGCATTTTCGCACACCTTCGATCGAAAAAACATAATAATAGTGAAACCCCATCTTGGTTTTAAGTTAACTATGTAAGTTCTTAATGAAGACGCACAGATGGCGCCGTCGGAAGTTATGCGGAAAGGTCACGTCCCATGTAATACGTTTCGACATATAAACAATTGAACATCTGTATTTATTAAACTGCTTTAACACGTTGTGATGAGTCGCGCCGCCCGGCACGGGGCACCCTGTCACGGCGCGTGGCGTCAGGGCACGAGCGACCCGACATGTACAGGCTAATTACACAAGCGGCCGCGGTGAGGCTACGACCAAGTATCGCGCTTCGGAAAACGAGACGGTCCGCGACGGGCGTATAGAGACACCCGGTCAAGCGAAAAGGGAGAAGCTCAGGAGAAACGACTCATGCGCCGGCCTAACAATAAGAGTACCCGAAGTGTACCACACCGAATTTCTGCATTCTCTGATATGTTATAGTACATGAAAAAACATTAGAGACGTATTCTTTTATACGTGCTAACTCGGCGATTTAAGGAGTAAAATGGATTCTTAATGTTCACCCTCGAAAAACGTTTTTTGTTTTTTAATATCTTAAGAACTATTGAGAATTTTGTAACGAGATAAACGTCATATTATTCGCCATGTATAGACGATATTATAGGCTATCATTTTACCCCAAAGGATTACATTCTTCAAACTTTATAAAACAAAATAGCCATTTTTAGACAATTTTTTCGATGTAAAAAAAAAAAATTATACCGACTTGAATCTAACCGATTCTGCTAGACAGAGCACAAAGAAACAAAATGTACGAGTCTCGGGATTTTTGCAAAAAACTCTCTACAGGGGTTAATTTTTACTTAATATTTCTTGTAGTGATTGTAATGACTTCATCTCGATACAGTTTTCACATCTCCATTTTAGAATGCTCAAGGTACTTAATATTTTGCATTCGAACAAAATCTAAAGTATAAATTTTCTTTTTAAAGGATTTAGTTACCTCCGACGAACAATAATATCACTTAATTTTGGCTGTTATTTTTAAAAGCATAAATTTATTCAACTTTGTTTGAGAACAGTCCCAGTAGAAAAGTATTTTCTGTGAGTAACAGTTGAAGATAAAAGAATAGCATCTTATTTTTTAAGAATGTTGAATAAGACATAATTTTTTTTATTTTTTCAATGTAACATATACTTAACCTTTTTTATGGGGATCATCATTATACATAAACTCTTAAAAGAATAATTTTACTGTTAATAGTTCGAACAATAATGATAATCATGGAAAAAATGTTTCAGACATAATGATTTTTTACACCATTGGCATTTTGCTATACCCACATTAGAACATTCATCAATTTCGCAGCGAATATTTGATTGTTTTCCAGCGGTGCGCGACCTGTCAGAGCGTGAAGGTGGAGCAGCGGCGTCCCGCGGAATTATTTGTTTCTCGTGTAATCTCTCAACTTTGGGTGATGGTAGCGGCCGATAAGATGGGACCGTTCCTACCAAATCGTCGACAGTTTTGTTACCTCCTGGTAATGCAAGACCTATTTACCAAATGGGTAGAGTGTAAACCTTTGAAGAAAGCTATCGGACCGTCGATTAAGGAAGCTCTCGAGGATCTGGTGCTTTATCGTTAGGGAGTACGAAAAGTACTTCTTACCGATAACGCCATAGAATTCCTTAATAACCCTCCACGAGAGTTCATAATTTCGGGCAAAATCCACTCCCGTTACGGCAGAGTTTAGAAAACCGGGATAAAGTGCTCATTCATATTGAGCCTCGTGAATGGCAAAACCGCTGGGAGTCTGTAGGGACCCTGCAAACATGGGTCAATACTAATTTGGAAGACGCTCGACAACGCATGGCGTACTATTACAATAGGACACGTACTAATCGCGCATTAACCGTAGGTGATTTAATGTGGCGCCGACAGCGAATAATATCGTCTGCGGCGAACTATGTTGCCGCTAAGCTAACGCCGTCCTAAGCATAGGTCCGTGTCGAGTGAGTCGCGTAGTTTCGCCACTAGTACATAAGGTTTGTGATATCAGCGGAGGCGGAGGCGGAGGCGGAGGCGGAGGCGGAGGCGGAGGCGGAGGCGGAGGCGGAGGCGGAGGCGGAGGCGGAGGCGGAGGCGGAGGCGGAGGCGGAGGCGGAGGCGGAGGCGGAGGCGGAGGCGGAGGCGGAGGCGGAGGCGGAGGCGGAGGCGGAGGAGGAATGAATATTTTATTAACTTAATTGCAGCATAAGTTGGCGGCACCGGGGGTTTATCGTGGGCAATCACTAGCTGTAAGTATGAGTCGTAACTAAGGGCGTTCTAGGGTAAGAATTGATAGGATTAAGTGTTGTACCGGGAGAGCATGTCGCGCCCTTGCTACCGTCGGTTGGCGTCGAGGGGGGATCGGGATATCAATTATCGCGCCGCGATGCCGGTCGGGACATCTAACGTGCACGCTGTCAATTGACGACGCTTGGCAGCTTGACGGCGTTCGACGGAAGGACTGGAGGGGGGTTTCCGAAATTCGGAGGTCCTAACAAGCCGAGGAGCTCATTGTTCAGGATACTCTCGGTGTCGCCGGAATCCTTGTCATCGCTGCCGCTACCCTATCTATCATGTACTCTACCCGGCCGAAGAGGGGTTGAAATTTGCTTGGTGAGCAAACCCCTAGTGGGATTTTGGAATAAACTTTCTTTTCCGCTCGATAGAGAATAAATGCAATCGGTTAGATGTGCATCCTCGACACGCGCCCCGCGGTAGTATCTCGTTTAACGTTCGGTCGTTGGCGAGACCGGTACCATCGTGGTTGGGAATGCGCTTCCGATTTTTCTTGTCGCGCGTGTAAATACCGATTTTCGCTTTGTGTCGCGTTAGGGCCCTCCGGTTGATCGTTACCGACCCGCCCGATCTGTCAGGTTCGTTCGTTTCGTGAGGCCCGGGTGATGTTAGTTGGGCGTTGTGCCCCGTGTCCTCCCGGAAAGCCGGGAACAAACTTCTCGAGGAGCATCCGGCTCCCCTTTTAATTCCGGACCTAGGGGATTCATCCCTTCACGCCCCGGTAGGGCCCAGAAGTGTCTGTGCGAGGGTATTAATTTGACCCAATTAAGTAAGAGCGAGAGTTCAGATGGTAGAGAGCTACGTGATATTTTTCTTTTCTTCATTTCCGACTTTCAAGTCCGTTACGCCACTCCGTTTCGGTGGAAGACCCCCCGCCCCATCTCTACCGTGCCGCAAAAGGTCGCGTGACCCTTGCAGGGCTGACTAACTGAGGACCGAGTTTTTCTCGCGGTTTTCAGATAGCGGGTATAACATCCTAGACGGATTTTGTCTACGGTCTCGTGGTATGACACTACATACCATGAGATCGTACACAAAGTTCGGCTGTGTGTGTGCGCGTGCATGCGTGCGTGCGTGCGTGCATGCGTGTGTAAGCCAAGCTTTAAAGTGATCTGTAATTATATACACATACATTTAACACATTAAGTGCCCAGCCCGTTTTGCCTACCGTTCCGTAAGGGCAGATCTGCGCGGTGCTGTAACATGAACCTAAAATCTGTGGCCGATATCTACGGACTGGCATGGCACTTAACGTGTTAACACGTTAAGCGTGGCGTCAGTCCCTGGGGAGTGACAGTGAACTTTCCGTCTGGGCGGCGTTAAGCCCTGGGGACTGACACGGCATCAAGAATCCTATATCGTAACGGGTCCAAATTAAGAGTGGGGAGGCCTCGTGAGAGGGAAGCGCGGCGCGCGAGCGCGTAGCATCGTGAGAGAGCATTCTTCGTCTGGGATATCGATCGTGTAACGATCAACGGCTCCTACTCTTAGATCAGAACTTCTGGACAGATCACCTCGCGTAAATTCAACCTCCTGAGTTTTGAGACATAGTCGGAGACGCCCGATTGTGCTGAAACCAATTTCGTTTTGGAGTTCTCGAGAACCGCTGGAACAACCTCGTGGCGAGACTGTTCATCCCTCGGTGACCGCGCATTGCCGCCCACGATCCGAGCCGGACAGTAACCTGAACGAGAGATCGTTCTTTAGGGATTCATCCAAACTCGATGACCGAGCATTGGCACTCACGATTCTAGTGCGGACAAACCATGTCGATAAGGACGAATGCCTTCTGACTTGATTATTTTCAGGCCCCGTATTCCAGTGGGCTTGACATAGCGACACATCCTAGTTCACGAAAATCCTATATAAAAATCCTACCTTCGTGTCCTCCAAATCGCACGTCGTGATTGAAATCGGATTTCCTATTCCACAAAACCTTAACCCAGCCAATATCCGCGGCTTCATAACATAGTATAAGTGATACTAAAACCCGGAGGGAATAACTTCGGAAGGCACATAAATCCGCGGTGGATTTTAGTCCGCGAGCCCAAATTGATTGGAGAATATTATTTCAAGTAAGGCTAATCAGCCACCCGAATTAGGTCCCAATATATCATAGAAATTGTAAATTAATAACTCTTTATTTCGATCCTACCAACGGCCGAGTTACAAATCAAACGCCTCGGTAAGAATTCGAGACGTAGAGAAGGGGAAACGCGGAGAGACGCGAGGACGGATATTAAGTCCGATTTCAATCCTACCCGAAACCACACTATCCAAATAACCTTTACTTCACATG